AAACTTCTTGAAATAATCACTCGCTCAAAAAATAGTCCCGTTGTTCCGTCAATTCCACCTTGATTTTTTTCAAGCCTTTTTCCTGGACCGCGACTATGCAGTCTTTAAAGGCCCATAACTTCCTTTGAAATTAATGTGATGAGAAGCGGTAAAGATTGTTGGAATCCACTCGAAGAGTACTTCATAACTGTGTGAAATTTCCCTGAAATTCCTTCTTCTGCCTCAATTTTCCTACGGCGTCTCTAGAACTCAATTCAGCAAATTCGCTACACTTTGTTTCGCTTAGATTTTATTTGAAAGCATCAAAACTCTCTTCAGAAAGTTTGTCTGCTTACGGCCGCTGACAGAGGAGGCGTTTTTATGGAAAACGCCTGCTCGGGTATACGCCGTGCACCTATCTGTGGGCAGAGTTCGCACTCGCATTTTGAAAGTCTTCTGTTTTCCTGAAGAAGGTGTTAGTATCCTGATTGAGTTGTATTGTGCTGTTATATGGCACTCTTGTTTCACTTTCCCATGAACTGCTCTACACTTTGTTCTCCTCGGGATTTCAGGAATGTTTCATCATCGAAGACAGACCATGTTTTTGCACTACACTGTAACAAAGTTTTTGGCTATCTATTGTACTCTTGATCTATGCCGCGGAGCAAAAGCGCCGTCCGGATAGCGTCGATTAAGGATAATAAGCTGATGGTGAGACTTATAGTGCTCTGCATGCTTTAATGCTCCCATGGAGCTCATGTCTGTGTGACTCTCCGACAGCGTGCAGCTCTCCTGGAGAACATTAGAGGCTGAAAGTGCACTCCCGGACACTGCACTTTTCAAGCCGTCTTGCAGCCCGTTTGTGGATACGACCCCCTCCCTTTTCGGTCGGCTGAATACGACCCCCTCGTTGTTCTTTGCGCAACGCAGGGTTGACCCTGCCCGAACGTTATTGATATGCCGACAAAAATCGCTCCCGTGTATGGAAGTAGTAGCAACTGCGAAGGTTCTGCCATCTTCGCGCATCGAAACGCGTCACCAAGGCGCTAGGCGCCGAAGAATTTATCAGCTCTAGAGCACCTAGCGCAGGTAACGAAAAGGCTCACTTTCTTCGATGCCCTGCTATTGCTTCCCAATATGAAAATTCCTTTTTCAAGGCTAGAGGAGGAGGCAGATTTTAGAAGTGCGAGACCTCATCCATTGACGTCCATAACCTTTTCCCAAAAACAACTCACCTCTACAGCATGAGTCGTCGAGGAGCGGTCGAAGAACTTGAAAATTACACTTTATTTAGTTGTGAGTTTTCACTCTCTAATATTTTATAGCTTTGAGCTCAAAAAAGGTGAAAAACTAAGAAAAACTTCAACAATCAGAAGGTTCACACCTCCTTAAGATTGCTGTGGTTAATTTTGCATATTTTTCATTCGCAAGCAATCTGCATCATGGAAATAATTAGGTGAATTCCTAGCTCCACGGAAAAGCTCACTGGCGGCGCGGCGTGGGCATGTGTTGACGACGCATTGTAACGTCACAGCGGCGGCGAGGAAAGAGCAAGAAAGGGCGCACGCATAGTCGGTCGGACGACAGCAACGATCGTAACTGTCGCACAGCATTGGATGCGTATCGATCGTCGGACTTGCCTGAGTATTCGACGATTAGATGCAGTTAGACAGTCAGACAGTTGCGATCGTTGCTGTCGGACGACCGACTATGCGTGCGCCCAAACAGTGTGGCTGGAACTACCACTATAGAGCCCAATTTTGCCTTTCTATGTACTTTCAATTAGTTAATATTGGGACATCGTTTTCTTGACAAAACTCAAATAGCGCAAAGGTGGTATCTGTACGTCAAACATCATTTCGCTGTCGGCATTACTTATTGCACAGGCTGGTAAGCGTCAACATCCACAGAAACGATTTGTCAGTATGGTTGCGTAGGTTCCACCGTAAGCACATTCGCAGTGAGGTCCGCAGTGTCCATATCATCGATTTCTTTCATCGTTTTCTATGCGCACGCGACGAGGGCCGCGTCCAGAATATGGTTGTCAACTGTGCAGTGCACCAGCACTGTAGAAAGTGGGTGTGGCGACGTAACGTTTCACTGCGGTGTGTTTCCCGTCGCGCAAGCGGAGAATGCTTGCGCGTCCAGGCGAACATTGCAAGAATTTTGGACTGCCTCTGAGTGATCGCGGAAATAGATGCTGTAATATTGTGGGCTTAGTCCCGACCAGTGGATCTTTGTACACGTTCGCCGGCTGGATTCCACTGTACAGCAGCGCGCTCCGAACTAGGGTGGTTGCGTTGGAACCTGGGCAGCCGTACTGGTAAATTGTTCTTGTGTCAACACCGTACCACTTGGCGCTAGCCACTGCTGCTCCTCTCTCTTGAAGCATTTAAAGCGGCTATGACGTCATTTTGACGCCTCCAGCACGCGCTCGCATCCTCGTCGCTCGCGAGCGTTTCTCCCCCCCCCCATTCTTGGTTCCACAAAAATTCTACTCCCCATCCGCCGTTGCGAGCCAAAAGTTTGTTCAATTTCTTCAAGCAACCGATCCCGAGCATTACCGGACAGTGATCAAGCAGACGCCTTCTTGCGGCCGTGGGGACGGGGGAGGCAGAGTCAACCCTGCGTTGCGCAGTTTTCAACGGCCACGTTGCGCAGTTTCGCCCGATTAGACACGTTCTCTCGCGCGAACATTCACACTCGCATGCTCGAGCCGTCTGTGTCTCCGCCCATACAGCGTGCGTTGAGGATCTCTCAACGTGCCGTTGCGAACTGCGCAACGCAGGGTTGACTCTGTGGTGCCGCGGGTCCTCGCGCGAACTGCGTTGAAACTGTCCAGCTTTTCGGAAATGGAGGGTATATGCTCGCATGCGGGAAGATAGAGGGTAGTGGTGCAGCTGTGGAGAGTGCAACACTTAATAAATTTTGATGTAAGGAAGTTGCAAAGTTTTGAATATTTGTAAAAGGGGTGACAGACTACTTATTACTCGGCCTAATCACAAATCATAATCTATACAGTGCGTTTTACAATTGTAAGAGCTTCTTGGGAATGCAAATTTTGCATTCCCAGAATGGTGTAGAAGTCAACTTAGAACTTCGTTTTTGATTGTTGTTATACTAAATCATAAAAAGCATGAGTACGGCCGTGACGGCGGCTCGGTAGCGTAACTTGGATCGTCCTTGATCAGTGAGCGAGAGCGAGTTTGAGTCCCATCTGGGATGATGGGTTTGTTCATAACCCATCATTCTTGTAACCAACCTAAATAAGACTTCGGCAGAATAGTGCCATCTGCAGGCCTACATCCATCCAATCTCATTCTATCTTCACCTCTGAATTTTTGCAGTTGCCAATAACCTTTGAAACCATCTTCTCCTTCTTTCTGGCAATGTCGCCGGTTCTTCCCATCGCTCCATGAACTGCGTGTTTTGGTACAAGCGAATCTCAAAGTTCGACAGAAGGTACAGTTTGGACTTGCATATCGTCTGAAGACACGAAAGCGCTTCAAATGTCCATGAAATTAACAAGGAGTGTTCTCATCTGTCTAAAATGGCTCTTCTCTATCCCATACGTATCCACATCGAATTGAATTGTTATTCTCTTATGATAAGTGATTATTTTGACTGCATATTAAGAGCACGCAATGCATATAGCATGAACAATTTCAGTGTTACTGGTAGTTGAACTCTTGAACAAAAAAAGTAGACGAGGTGCAATGCATCGAGGTTTTCCACAGCAACTGCTCCTTCAGCCATTGACGAAAACGAAACGTACTTAAAATTGGGAAAGAGTTGTCATAAACCTCACGCTTTCGAGGCGGTGCCGTGAAATGCTGCCAGCCTCTTTCTATACTGCCGACGCTACGTATGAGGCACGTTTAAGAGTGCGCTAGTATGAAAGTGGGCGATTTTTGAGGGTTTGTAATCGTAGCGTGAAGGCGGGTCACACGGTCGTCAGTGGGTCGAAAGAAATCCGCGTCAATTGCAATACCACCGTTCCCGCTATTACGATAATCAACTCTGCACACGTTGGCATGCATTCGAATGACGATGCTGTTTTTGCTGTTCGCTGTTTGTTTGACGTTTTTTTCAGTTCACACTAGCAGATACTAAATTACCGAATGCTAAAGCTGTCAAATACAGCTTTCCCTTACGATCGAGGTACTTCAGCAAGAACACTCCGCCTCTTGTATAGAACAATTATCGCATCGGCTAGAGGCGCAGTCTTGTTCTTTTATAATGTCGACGCAGTTATGTCAACTTCTACGTGATTCACTCCCCGGAGATGAATCCGGATTAGAGGGCTGAAAAGCTACCTCACCTCTTTCGCCCCAATCATGCTTTCTAGTGCACTTACAATTGGGTCTGAATTGCTCTGAATATGTGAGAAACACTGTCCAACGAATGTACACTGCTCCTTACACAGACACTTCCAACTATAAAGTGAGCTGAACTGTCGGTGGAATATCGTTGTGAGGAGCAGTGTACATATTTGTGTTCTAATTATTGCAAGTTAATTTACAAGCACTCACTCCGAATGATATTCCTGATTGAACAGTTTTGAGCGTCAACATCTAATTCTGAAGCGTTCACTTTTTGACAGAAAATGTTGGTCACCAG